GGTGTACAACTAGAAGCCTTGAAGAATTTATAGGAGAAGTTTACACATTTCTCACTTTCGCTTATTCCGCGCGCAAACAATTCCAAAGCTGACAGGCTAACGAATGGCGCATGAAGAATCAAGTCAAATATTTCTTATGTAAACACGGTACCACCAGTTTGGATATCCAACTAGTCGTAAAGTTGTTTCTTATGCTGATGCCAAAAAAAGAAAGAATGGGAGATCATGATTCATGATGATCGCAATTCAAAATCTACTCAATGATGGAAGAGAATTCAATATTGTATGGGTGATAATTCCTAGTACTTTACTAATTACCACTAATAGATGCAACGCATTATGCAAGGTGAGGTCCTTCGAATATAGTTTTGGTCCATTCGAAGGCCACATGTTTGGTTTCAATTTTATAATCAGATACAATATATTATAAAAATGATTTAGTCACATTATCACACAAATGTTTCAGTCCAGTGATGTACTTATTTTTTATAACTAAGAAGTTTAATCTTTTCGTAGTGAATATAGTAGTCAAGTAATTCACTAATCGAGTAATATGATTAGCTTAAAATGTGATACCCTTATTTTCATTGAGCAAATATGAATAAAAGTGTTTTCGGATAAAATCAAACTCATGATCAACAAACAAAATTCTTCATTTTCCATATGATGTACTTACTTGGTGGTGATAGTTTTGTAGGAAACTATAGTGGAGGATGGAGATTATGCATACGACTAACTAAACAACGTAGTAATCGAATAATATATTAATTTGAAGTTAAGGAGATTCGACCAATATAGTAGCGTCTCGATTCTCAGCTCTCAAATATATGAATCTACGTTAATTCAAACTAAATTCGTATTTTTCCTTTTACATTATATTTACTTACAACATGATAATGATAATTATGATCTGTCGTGCATCATGTTTGAATCTTCACATAAAAAAGTTTGATTCCGAACAGAAAGTAAATAAAATCTTCCAAGGGTTGGAATTGAGAAATTTGATTAATAAAATAAAATGAAAACGAAACTCGAGGTATTTAATAGGCTGTGTGTAGAAAGATAGATTGGGGGAAACCTACACGTGGAGCAAGTACCGATGCTTCCGACCGATTCCACGTGGTGAAACAGCTCAGTTTCTGCTCTGACATTTTGACCGCACGTGACTTTGCTCCATGCACGTGTGTTGATCAAGCAGAACTGTGCGATTACATCGACACGTCATGACTCGTCCGATTACGCCGGTCAAGTAAATGAACGGCTCCGATCCAAAGTCTCATTTGCTTTCGTTGGTGATACCATTAAGGTGCGAATGTTTGTTACCTAATCACATATGTTTAGTACAAATTTTCTTTGTTTTCCTCAAGATTAGATTCACATTTCAGTAGCCACAAGTAGATATGATACAACAATAGGCGCTAATACCTTGAGAAAATTTCTAATGCATCAATGCACATATCATTACGCTAAAGATTCAATTAAAGGTCAATTATCTAATTATTCGTCATTATCTAATAAGCCATATATTATTCGTAGTTATGTCCGTCCCCATCTTAGTATAGTAGAAGTATATAATACCTATTAAACAAGTGGGATCACTTTGGTAAGAATTTCATTTCGGTTTAGCAAAAAAAAAAAAGAATTTCATTTCTTTAATATATA